GAGTAGCGGGGCTCCCCGCGGCAGCCCCGGGGGAACGGGTGCGGGGTGCCCGGTTGTGAGCCCGTTTGACTTCTTCCTCCTCTCGTCCTTTTCCTTTCGTTTCGCTCGTTTCAGGGAGGAGCACAAAAAGCACTCGGCGGGCTGTGCTTTTCTCTCCCTCCGGAAAGATCCCACCGACCTGTCCCTGCAGGAGTTCTTGAAGCTGGACAAAGGGAGGAAGAAAAACGCGGTGGTACGTACACATCCGTGGTGCTCAAAGACTTAACTGAGTTCCCAGTCTGGGGGTTGCTTAGTTGGCCTGCTGGTTCCTTACCAAGCGGTTTGTTCCTTTCCTACGGGTGCTGGAGGGGATGGTGGCCCCTCTGTGGTCCTCACTCAGCCTCTGCCTCGTGGGAGAGGTCGCCCACTTCCTCCTTCCAGCTGAGCAAAGCTTGATCTAGGGGTAGACAGTAACATCTTGGTTTTATTCTTTGCAGAAAAAAGCAATTTCTCAGAAGGTGACTGAGGTGGAAGATGCAGCCAAGAACGTGCGTTGTAAAATAGAAGATCTGGCCTAGGCTCCTGTAGCTTCTCACTTGCCCGTGACATCTCTCGTGTGCTCTGGCACTGCCAGTTTGACTGTCTTCCCTGAGACTGCTTTCAGAAAGGCCATCTGTGTGAGAAGCAGGCTGAATTCTCCTTCCCTCACCTGACTGGTGTCTGGGAAGTACTCAGGGCGTGATGCGTTGCATGCCCAGTCTTCTCTTTGCAGGGATTCTCCTGTTCTTTCTTTTGGCATAGTGAAGGACTGCTACTTGTGGTTTGATTTCTTCTGGTTTTTTTCAAACCAAACCGTTTCCATTTTGGAGGTGCTGGTAGCTCTGCTCCAAGGGCTTGTGTTCCCTGCAAGAGCTGATGGTCACTTCCATTTTTACCCTGAATACACCAGTGGATACTTCTGGAAATTGAAAGGAGAAGGGGTTTTAAAACTCCCTCAGGGATTTAGGATTGTGGCTAAAAATGTGTAATTATGCCAAATCTTAGTGTGCCTGGTATCCTTGTAAACTTCTCTTTTTAGTTGGCTGCTGCCTCATGTTGATGCACTTATAAATAAAAGTTGAGGGTGAAAGAGCAACGTAGTTTTACTCATTTTTCTCGTGGAAAAGAATCTGACCTTTAATGTGGTGAGCTGCACCAAATGCAGTTTTAACTTCAAAACAGAAAATAAGGAAATCAAACTACAGCTTGCAGGGCAATTGCTCAAATGTCAAACTGTCTAAAGCAGTGCTCATCAAGTCTCCTTAAAACATCCTTGTGCCTTGAACAGTTTGCTTGGTCCCTCTCCTTGCACAAGTTTGGAAAGGAAAAAAAATCTTGCAGAACAGAGCACAGACTGAAGAATTGTGCTCTGAACTGTTGGGAAGGAATTGGGGAATCTTGCAGAAAACATTTGGCTGTTACAGGGCCTGATTTGATTGCACAGGGAGGTTGTGAAGTCTGCAGACTGAACTGGATGCCTGCACTTAGGTGCTCTCAAAGAACTCCAAGTCCATCTTGGGGAAGAGGTGGTTGCAATCACACGCTGACAAGACTGGTGCTCCGGGGTTATTTAAGTGTGTCCAGTGTTCCCTGTCAAAGCCTGCTTGTGAACAATGAAATAACTTCATTATTTCCAGCTGTAACAGCCAAGTCATATGCCGATTGCCCTTCTGCATTCTTCTTTTTTATGCTTGCATTGCAGCTGTAAACAAAGAACAGATTGGGTTAAGCTACTTAAATTCATTCCATGTTACTGGAGTTAGTGAAGTGGCCTGTAGGTAAATCTTGATGCAGAGTCACTTTGGAATTTCAGGATGCCTCTTCCTGCTGGGAGAGAACTGTCGGGTAAGAGCACTGAGTAAAGACTCAGGCTCTGGCCTCTCAGTGCTGCTGACTAGATGCATGCAGGTAGGTAGTCTGTGGGTAGCCTGTAGCTGAGCTCGAGGCCTAGCTGCAGTACTTACTGTAACAGGACTCGGATGCACTCCTCTCCCTCTGAGCCAAGCAGAACTGCCTCATGGAGAGCAGTGTTGTTGTGCCTGCATAAGAGAAACGAGTCATGTACTTGATACCTAAGGAAATGGTCCTAGTCCATGGAGAAACAGTCTAGCAAATTAAACTAAGGAAAATGAAGAAGGTATAGAATACATTAGGATTAATGCTGAATTTTTTGTTGTTTTTAGACTTTAGTGTGGTTTATCATATTAAGTCGAAGTGGATGGGGGAAGCAACTGAATAGAACAGCAGCTTATTTAACAGAAATTATAAGAAATCTTCAAAGCTGGCAACTGAAAGAAGGATGGTGAATACTATTACCCCTGCTCATGTGCAAGTTGCAGTGCTCACTTACGGTCCTGACTGCTGATCAATGTCAGCACCTTTCTGCACAAGGAGGGAAATCGCTTCTGTGCGCTTGTTAAGGACAGCAACTGTGAGAGCAGGTTGGTCCTCCTCGCTGGTGCAGTTGGGGTCAGCTCCCTAGAAGGCACAGGAGAGGGAAGGTGAGCTGTTCAAGCCATAACAATTCTTCAGCTTCCACCTTGCTTTCATATTATGCCTATTTAGGCTGGCAAATGGTCTTTGTGCTCAAGACAGAGAAATGTTCAAATTGTGGTGCTGATTCTTAATGTGTCTTCTGAAAACATTTGTCCTAGCTCAAAACCAGGGTGTGTATAACAAGAGCAGTTAGGTTTCACAGTCAGGATGCATCTACACAGCAAAAAGGTAGAAGTTATGCTTTCTTTTTTTCTTTCTTGACCAAAGCCAATATATTTTACTTTCTACATGACCTTGGCAAACCCAGAGAGGAATGCCTTACACCCTGGCCAAACAGAAATTTTGGGGAGAATGTATAGGAACATAAACCAGACTGTTTCTTCTCCGAAATGCTCTTCCAACCTGAAGACATTTGTATTCAAAGGATGTTGCCTCCTAAGCATAACGTCATGTACCAGGCTAGCATCCATGCAGTAAATGGTCAAAGAGTTGGAAGGGGAAATTTCAGCAAGCAGTAACTTACTTCACTGAGCAATTGTTCTACCAAGGTGCTTCTTCCTTTCCCATTTGGACCCAATTCATCCAGTAGTTGTCTGGACTCTGGCTGTGGAAACACAGAACAGCCAGTAACGTTTCACATAGTGAAAATATGAGCAGGTGGACCATATTCCAGCTTTGAGAAAAGGTGGAAAATGCTCACAGTGGCTGAATAGTATCTGAGGGAATAACACCTGTAGCTGAGCCTCAGCGTTACTAACTCCTGACCATTCTGTGGGAATTTTCTTTCTGAGTCTGAGCAAGCGTTGCATAACCTGGGTGAACATCTCACTACTGAAGACTTGATTCAGCAAACATGTCTGCAGGCAACTCGACTCACATCAATGCAGCTCTCCAGGACTGCACAAAGCTCTGTTCACCACAGCAAATGTGGGCACAAGTTATTTGCTATAGAATTAGAGTCTGAAGCTTCCAGAATGTATGGAAGTATTTTATTTAGAAAATGGTTTGCCTCACTTTTGGTAACTCAAGTTTGCCTCAAGTTTGATAACTAAATCTCCAAACAAACAAACCAACACAAAAAATCATATTTCTTCCCACCTCCTTCCTCTCCCCTTTTTAAAGCCCAGACACTTAACCAAGCCTTTCTGTCTCTGGACACATATTACTAAGCTCTATCTTCTTCCGCTTGTTGAGTTGGCTAAGTGAACCAGCCTGAGATTAATGCAGGTTTCCCTTTTGGAGTTGTTTTGTGCTATTACTGATGACCCATTCAGTAGGCAGTGCTTCCAGGCTATTTCTCTAGTGGAAGTAAAGCCCTGCTTCTTGCATTAAGCCAGCCCTCAGTTGTGCTGACATCTCAGCTTTATGGGAAAACTGAGTTGTCTTTAAAAGCTGGTCACATACATCATCTTCCCCAGTCTAGTTCAGTCTGACTGTGAACAGTAGTTCTAGCACAGCCAAGGAGTCCTATGGAGTCCTATGTCCTATGGAGTCAAACCAGGCAGTAAGGGTCCACTGAAGACAACAATGCCTCCAACAGATGTTGCTTCCGAGAAAAAAATGTCACACAACTGGTCTGCAACAGTCTTGAGGCCTATTGCTGTGTCAGGAAAACAAAATGGGTCCAAAAATGAAAGCAACAATCTAGTTAAGCTCTTAGTAGGAACAAAGTTTGGCTGCTTCCAGTTCTATAACAAAATATCAGCTACTGATTTTCAGGTTTTATATTAAGTTGGACTTTTGTGCCCTTTCTTCGCCCCTCACCCCAGTCAGTATTAAAAGCTTTCTGATTTTACTCTTGGATGTCCTCCTTCACATTAGTGCTGCTCTCTAAGTAGGTGGGTTTTTTTCTGTACTGGCAGCAGATACAGGGAGCTTATCTTAGAATCATGGAATCACTAAGGTTGGAAGGGACCTGAAAGATCATCAAGTTCCAGCCCCCCTGCCATGAGCAGGGAACCCAACCACTAGACCAGGTGTCACAAAACCTCATCTAACCTGGCCTTAAAAACCTCCAGGGATGGGGCATCAACAGCCTCCCTGGGCAACCCATTCCAGTTCCTCACCACCCTTATAATGAAGAATTTCTTCCTAATATCTAACCTAAATCTCCCCTCTCTCAGCTTAAAATCATTACCCCTTGTCCTGTCACTATCTTCTCTGATGAAAAGCCCCTCCCCAGCTTTTCTGTAGCCCCTTCAGGTACTGGAAGGAGCTATAAGGTCTCCCTGGAGCCTTCTTTTCTCCAGGCTGAACAGCCCCAACTCTCTCAGCCTGTCTTCATAGCAGAGGTGCTCCAGCCCTTTGATCATCTTGGTCACCCTTCTCTGGACCCTCTCTAGAAGGTCTTTATCTTTCTTGTGCTGAGGGCACCAGAACTGCACACAGAATTCCAGGTGTGATCTCACCAGAGCAGAGGGGCAGAATCCCCTCCCTGGCCCTGCTGGCCACACTTCTTTTGATGCAGCCCAGGATGCAGTTGCTCTCTGGGCTCCAGCTCACACTGGTGACTCATGCTGAGCTTCTCATCTACTACCACCCCCAAGTTCTTCTCCTCAGGGCTCCTCTCCAGCCATTCTTCCCCCAGCCTGTATTTGTATTTGTGCCTGTATTTGTGCCTGGGGTTGCACCAACCCAGGTGCAGGACCCTGCACTTGGCCTTGTTGAACTTCATGAAGTTGGCACTGGCCCACCTCTCCAGCCTGTCAAGGTCCCTCTGGATGGCCTCCCTTCCCTCTTGGGTGTCACCACACAGCTTGGTACCATCAGGAAACTTGCTGAGGATACACTCAGTCCCACTGTCCATGTTTCCAACAAAGATGTTGAACAGCACTGGTCCCAGTACTGACCCCTGAGGGACCCCACTTGTCACCTGCCTCCATTTGGGCATTGAGCCATTGACCATCTTCTTTTCCTGTAAGTGTTCTTGAATTTGTTCTCTTTATTTTGCCTCTTGAATGGAAAAGATTATAATCATCTTTGCCTACCAGAAAGGGAAACAAGTGTTAATTCAAAACAAAGTCAGTATCCTAATGAGAACTTGGGAGAGAGATCTGGAAATAATTTATCCACAAAAATATTTTGTGTTGAAATAAAAGCAATATTTATCAGCTTTCTACAAGAGAAAGTGATGAAATATTTGTTGCAGATCAGACTGGTTTTAACAAAAGGTTTACACCCAGGCAAACTTTAAAACTTGCTATTTTGAAACAACGCTTTAATGAAACGGAGATTTGGGGGCTGAGTCTATTTTTAACTAGCTGCAGCTATTCAACAGACTTGACTTGGATTCATTAATTGTCTTGATTAATTTTAAAATTAAAAAATTTAAAATTTTTCAATGCTGTTTGGTTCCCAAATACTTAGGAACGAGACTAGAGGACCTTGAGTAGATCCTTTATTTTTATGAGACATAGTCTACGGATGTGCAGGAGGCTGGATAAGGAAAGTACATGGCATGTGGGGACCTTGTGAGCTGAGGCTACTGAAGTGCCTGAAATCACAGTCATTGACACTCCAGGAACTCAGCTCCTACTGCCGTGGCTGCCACTTGCCAAGTCTTAGGTTAGAAACTGGCTGAAACTTCAATGTGAATTGAAGTGTGTCAAAGTATACTATAGGAACTTTTGAATTCTAATGCTGACTTTATAACTAGTTGATTTAAGGAAAACCTAAGTGCAATATGAGATGCCTAAAATGCTGAGCTGCTACTGACACCAATGGGAGATGCAAGTTAAGCATCTCTGAAAACTAGGTCTAGAATTAATGTATTTAATAATTTCTTATCTTTGGCAAATGTGCCAAAGCTGAAGTCCCTGGCACACCTCAGAAGTTGAGATAATATTGACATTTATAACTCTTATTGTAAAAGAATATGCAAAGCGTCTAAAGTTTTATCACTATAATAAAGACTCTGTGCTGTGGCTGCAGTTTACTGGCATCTGCAGCTTTCCTCTAGGGATAAAACATTTCCAGGAGCTTTTGACAGAGTCTGTACATCACTTAAATCTCAACTCAACCCCATTTGGACACTTATAGATCAATATTTAGGTGCATAATGTGCCACAATATTCATTTGCCTACCTCAGTGTCTCACTACTTCCATATTGTTTTCTACTATATTTATGGTCTGTCACAAAGCCAGGGAAAAAAAAAATTTAAAAAATATAATCTCACCAAAACTAGTTTGACTACTGTCCTTTCCACCTCTGACTTCTCTTACAGAATTCAGGTAATGACTTCTGAACTTCGCTGACTTATTAGCATGAATATCCTGTAGAATCATCAAATGCAGACAGTTAATCAGATTATAACCTAATGCTGTTATAATCTTAGTAGCACAGAACAATGGTGTTGCATATGAAAAAATATATAGGCTTTTAATGTGAATCTCAGATAAGCACAAGGCAAAGAAATATATGTAATTGAATTCTGTTTTGAGACAAAACGTAGCATTTTTTCTAAGCCTTGTGTTAGGAATTTGTTTTTATTTTTAAAAAGCGACACAACCTCACTTAATGAAGATTCTTATCCAAATTAAATTATCAACCACCTGAGACATCTGATAAACTCCTCACTTGTGAAGTGATGTGATACACTTTTTCAGGCAACACTTGGCAAGGTAAACTTTTAAAGATTCTACAAAAGAGATACAGTCTGAATGACTGATCTTTGAAATGGTAGATTTTCATCCTATAGAAGCTGGAAATCAAGATGGGAGTGTTTTTTAGGAAGGTTTTTTTAGTGTTTGAATTTAACAGGTTGTTTAGTGTTTGAATTTAACAGGTTTAGTGTTTGGTTAACAGGAACTCTGGCAAATGTTATCTCCAAACAATTGACAATCGCTAAACTTGTTTCTTAAGAGCACAATATGCAGCCTGAAGGAGGCTCTAAGATCAAGAGCTAAGGGGTCCTAGAAACAAATAAGCTGAAAGAGGAATGTTCATATTAACAGCAAACTAATGAAATGCAAGATGATAGCAACACAACCATGAAGTCTGGCTTAATCAGATACCACCAGTATAGCCAGCTCCAATAGAAAACTATTCCTTTCTCTGAAGTGATGAGTTAACACTCTCCAAACAAAAGGTTTTCTGGTTTAGACCTGAATTTAAAATGTATCAGGTACAATGACTGGTCTAGTGACAGTTCTAGACCAGTTGCCCAACAACAGGCCTCATCCCCCAAACTGACCTTGTTAATAGCAAGAGCATAGTTCAATGTAATAGTGACTTCATAGTCATCTTCATGGATAGTAGCAGAATTAATCTGGATGAAAAGAGGAAAAAATACACAGAAATCATTTTAGGAATAAGTCTTGTTGATGATGTTTCTTATGTAGCCAATACACAAAATCACACATGAGGCCTTTGCCTATGTGTGATTTTGTAACATTTGCCATCTAACTGGCAGGTAGTATTTTAGAGTAACTGGAAACATCAGAATGACTGAAATGCCAAATTAATCCAAAAGGTGTAATAACACTTTGTTTCATCAAAGTTCAGCCATTCTCCTCCTAGATTTTGTAGCTGCATGAAAGGCTGTATTTTCTTAGGATTCCCTGCTCCAGAACTGGTTGTAGCAGCCTGTGGAAGCACAGTACTAAAACATGGGCAGCTTCCTGTGTCAATTCATTGAGACAGTACTGCTGGCAAGATGATTGAAGTCATGCATAAATGAGTGCACATGGGATTATAAAGAACTGGAATGAAGCTAACAAGGTTATATTGCAGCAGGTTGAGAATTTTGAGGGTGATTTTATTTCAAATCCATGTGAAAAGTGAAAAAAAAACCCCAACAACCCAGCATTAAGCTCAGATAGTTGGCATCTACTTTGAATAACTTCTGCTACTTTTGGGGGCAGAGGCTTCAAGACAATAGGATGACAAAAGGCCAAGAAGCAGCAGTTCTTTTCTGTGAAATTTAGTATTTTTCAGGCATATTATTTTGAATCTTTTAGCAAAGGAAACAAGTTGCAGTGGGTATATACCTCATCTCCACCAAGCAGGTAACTTTATACCTGTACTACAGCTTCTGAACATACTGATGAACCCAATAGGTCTCAGTGGGTATAGAATTCACATGCAAAATACCTGATGAAGTGTTAAACCTCCTAAAATTGTAATTGGCCGAATGACAATTAGATTTCTGAAGCCCACTATTGGTGAACTTTTCTGTAGTTGTTTCTGTGTGCTAAATTTGTGGTTGTTTTGGGGTTTTTTGTTTTGTTTCAGGTATTTTGGTTTTGTTTTGTTTTGTTTTATGAATGTGTCACATCAGTCAGGACAGGTCAAGAAATAGTGATCTTGAACTGTAACAAGGAAGACTTAGGTCAGACACTGGGGAAAAGCTTCCCAGTAGCTATGCCAATTCAAGGAGTTCCCAGCCCTACTTGTGCATGCATCCCACTTCCAGCTCACTGCCAGCCTACTTTTGTACTAGCACTGATTCCCTTTTTTCCCCTCCAGAGCTATTTTTAACCTGATCCAGTCCACAGGACATTGCCTCAAGCAGTTGTGCTGGCAGCACCCGGGAAGCAACGAAAGGGGATGTAACTGCCTAACCCAGCAGGACTGCCAAAGAAAGCAACCCAGCACTGCAGCTGAACTGCAAGGATAATTGAGTGCAGAAATGGACTGGGGAGGGTAATTGTGAAATCTCCATTGTTGGGGAGTTTGAAAAGTTTCAAGATAAACATCTGTCAGGAACAGTTTAGGCAGAGTTGACCTTCCTGCAGGCCAAACGATCCCTCAATCAATCATACCAGCATGATCTTCTAGGACTCTTTAGGAAGAACCTCCACTTTACACCTTCTTGCTATCACCCCTTTAAGAATCTTAATGCAGTTTGGTGACATCCTGAAGACTGCATCTCCAGCAAGAAAAGCAATACCCTGTTCCTTTAATACTGGTATGGTTTATACTGGAAGTAGACTAAGTAGCCAAAGAGAATTGCTATCTGCTGGTATAATCCATCCTGGAGTAGAAGTAAGCATAGAATTACATCCCTTTTCTAGCAGGTCTTATTTAACTGACCAGCTACACAGATGTCAGTGATCTCTTCTTTGTCTTAATTGCCTGCTGCTGGATAAAGCAGCTGAGCAAGGGCTTTCTGGCTTCTATCACTTCTCTTACAGCTGTGGGGTGAGAGAAGAATAGAAACTACCATAGGAAAGAAAGCAGAAAAAAAATCTTCGGTAAAAGACTGAGCAAAAAATGGAACAACAAACCAAAATAAATTGCATACACCAACAGTTCAAGGCATAAAGAAAATGGAGACATGAATTTTTCTAGTGTTTATCTAGCAGCCAAAATAATCTTTCATGAGACTGCATAGGCAGACATTGCTCACAAGCTCCTTCCTACCTTTCCCATCCGAGGTTCTCCAATCAGTGCTCTGAATTCAAGGTTGTTCTGAGCGTAGCTTCTAAGGTGAGCACAGACATGATCGAGCTGCTTCCTCCAGTAACCTAAGCAGAGAGTGTTAAGCAGTAGAAAAAATCCTTGAAATTGTGATTAACATTTCTTTTGATCATGTGATGGATTATTTAAAAGACAGCATGTTTTCACTGAGACCAAAAAAAAAATTAAGTTTACTTTAGAAAATTCATCTGATCAAGAAAAGGAGAAGCAAGCTATGAATGGTGAAATACTGTCTTCTACATGGGTTATAATTCATTTTTAGTGCACCTCTATTCACAACAATTGTCGTTTGGAAACAAAACTGCCCCTGTGCAAAGGCAAATATCACACTATTCCAGATATTATATTTTTTTAAAGTACATTGTTACAACTAAGCAATTGTGCACTATTGAACTGATTTCTAGTTGACTTGAGATCACTGTCAGGTAACAGCCAGCCACATCTGAAAACTGCAGACAGAATAACCCAACCCATACAGGATTTTGGTCTGTGTCAATTATTCCCCAAAATAAATGTCTTCCAATTATATACAGGAGAACATATTAAAAACGTATCAATTTCTGCTCTTAGGCCTGTCAGGATCTCTGGGAGAGAGTCAGCAGTCCTTTATGCTGGTACAGGGCATGAAACATGAGGGGCTGAATGCTCCCAGATTCAAAACTCCAGCCAGTTAGAGGTTTTGCAGTGTTTACAAAGTATTTCTGAAGCAATGTTCTGTTTTCATCAGAGAAAGAAACCAAAGGACTTATTCTCATTCTTAAGTGCTTGTTAACAGGATCTGGTTAATTTTATTTTTGCAAAGTACAGAGTATTATTTATTTTGTTGTAAATAAATTGTGTGGGCTTGGTAACCTTGTTTAACTGACACAATTAAGTTGCCCCTACTTTATCCTTCCCTTCATGTTAAGTGAAGGTCAAAACAGTGAAAGGAAGCCAAGTCAAAAAGCCAAGTCAAAAGAAAAGTGCTGCTCTGACTTCTACAAGAAAAGCAAGTGCACAAGGATTTTTGTGCTTGGAGGACTCTTCCAAAATAAAACTAATAGAAACCATGACAAACAAAGCCAGCAAGTCTTACTTGCTAGGCAGCTTTAAAGGAATATAAAAAGAAGGATCCACAGAGCAACATAAATTGTTCTCTGCCATGGTCTCACATACAAAAACTAATACAAGTTGAACACAGTAATTTAAAAATCTTAGGTAGACTAGTACTTGGTGAGTGATGCCTCCAGAGAAATCTGTGTTCTCTTCAATTAACTGGTTTATAACTAGCCTAGATGCCCAGATTTTATTTCAAAACATGCAGATGGCCAGGAACGTATTCTCACATGTCTGACATTTTCTTACATCTAAAAGGATTTTTGGCAGCACTGATGGAATAGTTGAAGTCCTGTTGTCAATAGTTGATTTCACCAATATCAACTTGTTTCCTGCTTGTTACAGTAGAAAGGGGGAGGCTTCTTTGTAGAGTTTACCTGGGAAATTACTTTGCTCCTGTTCAAAACAGACTGAAAGTACAGCCAAAGAAGAAATACAGTACACATCAAAGGATTAGTGTTTGGGTACTGCTGTTCTTTCCCTCTGTCCTAACTGGTTTGGGTTTTTTTTTTAATCTTCACAAAAGAACAGAAGATTAGTTAATAGCTAATAGGTGAGGAAAGCGATCACTTCTATTTAAAAACTTTGATATAAAATATCTGATACTATTTGGATTAAAGAAATAATGTCTATATTTGGAATATATAAACAAGATTTTCCTGAGTGATAATGTATGGTCTTGTTTATACGTGTAGCTTCAAGCCATACGTACAGCTCAACATCAAGGAAAGGGAACAGCATGAAAGACTTTATTGTAACAGACATTTGTTGATTTACAGAACAAAGTATGTTCCTCAGTCCTTGGCAGGGTCCAAAGAAGAACACATCACGCAGTGCAGCTCCAACAAAGTTACCTCTGCTAAATGGATAAAAATTAACATCTTTCAAAAGCAGTTCAGAATTTCTTCCCAGCCTTTCCCAGTGAAAGGAATTCCCATTCACAAGTCAAGAGCTGTACTTCTGACAGAGATGTATTAATGTTCAGTGTTAATTTTTTTCCCCTCAGCACTATTCCAGACCAATCCTTTCTTATCTCTTTAAGTTTCCTAACATGTTGAGTCAAGTGTATTTCCTACAGTGATGTCGAAGAGAACATGCCACATTTCAGAGGAAGAGAGTAGGACAACAGAATTCCTTAGTGATAATTTTAAGAGTGCATCATCTAGATATTTATACACAGAGTCAAACCAGGAAATTCTAACTTTCATTAGCAAATTCTTCTACCCACTAGATAAATAATTCTGATTTCAGCCTGAGGGGTTGACCATCTGATTGTAGAAAAAAGCTAGAAATGGGGAAGTGGATCCAAAAAAGTAACCACAGTTTGATGCTGTAGTAATTTAAAATTATCTTATTCTCTGGACTGCACAGCTGGACTGCCCTGTAATATTAAATACAATTTTGCAAATTGGTTCATCTATTAGGTCTCTGATTAATACTGATGGACTGCCTTCAAGGGTTTGGAATCCAGAAAGCTGAAGCTGGAGTTTTGCCAGGACAGTAAAACTAATATCTCTAAAAACTGGAAACCTTTTAATGACAGCAAACAGCCAAGTGACACCACAAAGAACTAAATGACCAAACCAAGGACTGTGAAACAAGATCGTCTGCAGTACTGATCCAGTAGTCAGTCTCTGCAATCAGCAATGCAGAGGTACTGATACCTTTGCAGTGCTGAAAGATGGGGCCTACAAGAGCTCTCAAGGTTTCTAGCAACCTTGTTTTTTGTAATCCTGTTAAGAATCCCTTTCTTTAGGTCAGTTTGCTTCTGAAACCTCTGTAATATATTCCACAACAGCACCCCAAATAAGTTCTTCACATAGACAAGCTTCACCATATTTTTCAAGAGTTATTACTAGCAAATTAGTAAGGCTGCACAGGAGTCAGTAACCATAATTTTTATATTGCTGATAGGCTTTCTTTTAGCTATAGATGGAGATCAGTGATTTGAATTCTAAGGCACTGCATTTACAAGTGACTGGTGGGAAAAGAGACTTGTAATGATGTAAATCAGCATCCTACTGATGCCACATTCTGTACACTATAATCCTTTTGAGAAAAAGCAAGGTCATACATTGTAGAGTTGTTTAGAAAACAAAAAAAATCAAACCTCCTAACCTTTCCCAGGACTAGTGGCTGTCAGGAGAGGCTTATGATCACTCATCTTTTCCAGCTTTTCTTTTTGTGAAATCAGCTCAAGCTCCTTCTTTTCCAACAGTTTGCTGGATGGGTAAAAAAGTCCAATGGTTTGGGTTCCTTTATCTTCTCTCTCTTTTAGTTCTTCCCATGATTTGGGCAAGGAAGTGGGAAGAGGCTGCCAGGCAACTTTAGCCTGTGGGGAGCAGAGGGGAAGGAATAGTGTAAGTAATATCATTAGATGTAATTAAATGGCTTACAAGCAGAAATAAACAAGAACAGCATACAAAATGCTAAATAAATTAAAATGATAGTGGGAAGAATCAGTCTGTTACAATAACATGACTTACTACAAATATTCAAGCAAAAGCAAAACTCTTCATGATTGCCAGCAGAATGACCTGTATGCTTCTGTGAGACAAAAGCTGGCCTTGCTAAGTATTACAGTCTCTCTTAACACAGAGTTTTAAAAGAACTGCTACGTATGAATGCAAAAATAGCTTGTATCTGCAGCACACAAATCATTCACGAGTTAAAAGGACTTAAAGAGCTAAAACTTTTGAAAAGCTGTTTGTTTCTCACTTTCCTATTTAGATGAAGGCTGGATTAAGGCCTTTGGCTAAGGATACTTTGAGTCAGAAAGCAATTCTCAGAACAACCATGACCTTGGGCTTGCCCTCAGCGTGCTAACAAACCAGGGTGTTGTCCCAAAGAGGAAGTTAATGGAGCTGTGCAGATCTACACTCGCCGTGGGTGAGCCTTCCATCTGTGGGTCTTACCTCAGCAAATGCCAGCGAGTCCCCAGGATCCATGAGGATGCTGTTCTGAGAACCCCTCCTCGAGGGGGGTTCTATGTAGACGCCGCAGGCCCCACAGAAGCGGGCGTAGGGACGGTTGCTTGTGCCACACCTGAAGCAGGTGAAGTAGGATGGGGGAGGCCCAGGCTGGAAAGGGGAATGAAACACTTGTCACTACGGAAACGTACGATGCATGGTTCAGGAGTTGTAAAAGCAGGGTCATGAATTAAAAGGAAGTAAAGTAGCACTACCTAAAGCTATTAGGTTGGAAACATTAACCAGGATACAAAGGGCTAACACACTGGCAGATGCCAGACAATAAATCTTCAGCTATCTCAGCACTGTGCTCTGGAGGCAAACACCTGGAGTGCTGTGTCCAGTTCTGGGCCCTTCACTTCAAGAAGGATATTGAGGTGCTCAAGCAGGTCCAGAGGAGAGCAACAAGGCTGGTAAAGAGACTAGAGGGAAAGCCTTATGAGGAGAGGCTGAGGGAGCTAGAGCCTGGAGAAGAGGAGACTCAGGGGGGACCTTATCACTCCCTGCAAGTACCTGAAGGGAGGCTGTAGTCAGGTGGGGGCTGGGCTCTTCTCCCAGGCAACTAGCAACAAGACAAGAGGGCATGGCCTTAAGCTGCTCTAGGGTGGGTTTAGGTTGGATATTAGGAAGCACTTCCTCACAGAGTGGGTGATTAGACATCGGAAGGGACTTCCCAGGGAAGTGGAGGCACCGTCTCTGGATGTGTTTGAGGAAAGGCTGGATGTGCCATGGTCTAGAGATGTGGTGGTGTTGGTCATAGGCTGGGCTTGATGGTCTTTTCCAGCCTTGGCAATTCTGTGATTTTTTCAGACAGATCTAGCATTTGAATATGTTATTTGTTTTAACATACACTTTCAAATAGCTTTCTTTTCTTTGGCAAAGCCCTGACATTACTGGTGTGGGCTCTGGAATTGAATATGGACTGCAATCCTTTCCTGTTCGATTCTAACACTGCCCCCACCACCCTGAGTCCCCTGGGACAGTGAAGGACCAATGGTTACATATGCATATAGGGGACTGTTTACAATTTTATGCAGATTCAGCTCATGGTAAAAAAAAATATATTTTCCTGTGATCTTAGATTGAAACACTGTACCTACAAAAACATATGCCAGGGGAAATTGTTGACATTGATTATACCATGCGAAAGCTGTACTCAGCAGCAGTTAGGTACTTCTTAATGATGCCTTCAGCCAAAAAATTGCCTGCATCTTCCCATCTTAGGTAACACTTCTATAGATGATCATAGCCCAGAGTATATATGGGAAAACCTGCATTAGGTTAGCCTGTACTTCAGCCTTTGCTGGATAAGTTACTTTGGCAGAGTACACAGCTATTGCATCTCACCTGATGCTATGAGCTGATGATCACTGACCCATGGTAACTTGCTTATGTTTCTAGACCCTTAAGTCTCTGACTATCGTGGGGTCAGGATGTCATCTAAGTCTTTAACTTTTCTTTATATAATCTCATGTGCTCCAAGTAAATATTTTGATAGCAGTAAGTTGTGTACTGACTGACATCAGTTTTGCACAGAGAAGTTTGAAGGTCACAGATGAGCAAAGCCAGATTTGTCAGCACAAACACTGAGAGCACGTGCCTTGGCTCCACACCGGTCACAGAAACGGGCATCACATGGGTTAACATGGTTGCATTTTGAGCACAAAACTGTCTTCTTTTGCTGGCTGGGATGAGGCAGGAGGGTGTCTCCTCCAAACACGGGCTAAAAAACCAAAAAAGGCATTAGGGAGAAAACACTTCTGAAGAAGAAAAGTTCGCAAGCTAAGAGGAAAGCAAGCTACTCTGATAACATAAAGCAATATTCAGCCTGAAAGAATTATTTCAACTTACAATAATCAACAGAGTGACTTGCATCTAAGCTGATTTATATTTTTTCATTACAAAACCACAATAAAATGTGGCATTCATTAATTTTAAATATTTTAGCAGAATTGAGTGCAAAAAAAATTTAAATAATTCCTTATCCGTATTGTCCTTTTACACTGAGTATTTATTATTATAGCCCCATGTATAAGCACACTCAAAGTTAAGAGGGAATTTTCTCTGCTGATAAGCTTATATTTTCAAATCCAAACTACAGAAGCTACTTTTGCTCCTACCTTGCTTTGCAGTAGTATGACAGGGAGTGTGTGTTCAGACAATGAGTCGTCTCTGAGTTTGGCATTTGCTACATGACTATTTTTTTCACTCTTTTACATTATACAAATTATATATTACCTCTCTTTCTACTACAATTAACTTATATGGGTATGCAAAATAAATCAGTTTTTACCAGCCGAAACTTCTAGGGGTTGAGTATAGATCCTAGTTAGGAAAAACAGGTCTTAAAAATGTTATGTTAGTTTTTGTCTCAGGGCTTATTTTCTATGTAGGTCAGGAATATGGATAAGGAACAGAACCTGAAAAAAATTATTTTGATTACAGCCACCACGACAGCAAGTGAGCAGACACAAAATAGCCCTGTTTTCATCTGTGGCCTGCATTGCAATTTAAATTATGTTACTTGGAGGTTCATTTGGAGGACAAAATTTATGAGCTCACACGTCTAAACATGTTCTAAATCTAAATAATTTAATAACTATTAGTAGTAATATCAACACTGTTACTAATTATGAAATAATCAGGAATTACTATTGTTATCACTAATTAATCACTATTATTAATAAAACTTCTAATTACTAATTGTTAGGAAGCTTTTAAATTTCTTTCTTGGCTACTGCAGGTCTCACCATTCAAGTCATATGCCTAACTACAAATGCAGCTACACATTAATATCTACTTTCAGTGAAGCAGTTAAACTTGTTTATCTTAGCTAAGTACAGATTCCTAAGGAAATTCACTTGAAAAGGACACCTCGGTGGCTATGCTAGAGAGCTTTGCCTCCAGCTACTGAGTTTTAGAGCTCAGGATGTTGCCAGTATAATCAGAAGATTTTAACTGGCAAAGCATTATTATTCTCTCATTTCTGTATTTATCACAACCTGGAGAAGTGAAAGGCACCACAAGGTTTTCATACAAGAATTTTCTCCTCAGACCTGAAAGTAAAATCCTTCTTAGAAGCCAAATGAGCAAGCTAAATGGGGAGTCAAAACAGACAGCAATTTTAGGGGGGAACATTTACTGTTGCTTTTCTCACCTCTGTGCAGAGTCACAGCCAAATACAAGCACAGTAGCTGTAGGCACGTAGGTGAAGCAGCAAATGGAGGTAAAAAAACAAAATGTAAAATAATATTTTCACAAAATACTTGAAATCCATGAGAACGACCTTCCTGATGTATATGCTCACTTTCTATTGCAACTGAAAAGAATCTGAACACAAACAAGACTATCCTGTAGCCAAGACTAGGCTTGGATAGTCTTTTTCAGAGCCTTCTGAGCTTTCACTATGGCATTTGCAATCCTCATCTCCACAGGAGGAACTTGAAGGTATACGATACACTTAAATTTAGCTGGACACTTGTGATGAAGTACTGGGCTTGAGTATGGTTTTGGGAGAGTGTCTCTGCTTTTGTAACATAGGCACACAGGCATATGACTTCAGTTTTACAAAGAAAAAGAATGTTATGCTTGGATTTGATTAACCCAAGTGTGATTGTTGCAAGAAGCCTTACCGTTTGCATTTCAGGCAGCTTGCTTTCACAAGTCACACAGTGGTTATGGTGAAGAGGATTTCCTGTGCCACACACCTGACAAATTACTTTACCCTTTTAAACAGAAAAATAATATATTTCACATGTTACTTGAAAATTGTGAACAACAACAATAAGAGGAAGACTTGATCTTGCAAAGTGCTGCGGCTATTCAGCCCTGCAGATAAAAGAAATCCTTCAAGTCTGTGCTGTGGGCTTCAGACTATAGCTATGCCATATTTCTTGGTCATCACAAGTCTACATATCTTGGTGAGTTTTGTTTTTTTAAAAACTATGGTACAGTTTCCTCAGGAAATCCAGCATCAATACCTCCAGATCTTATTTATTAGTGTAATTTTGCTTAGTCACTGCACTCACACAAAACAGATAATCCCCATACCCCTAGGCAGGGAGTACTCTGTAGGGCAAATTTTGCCTAGTTAAGTCCACCAGCACTTCTGGATCACTGATCAAGACTGTACTCTAATGTTCTGGGCATATAAGCACTGCCCCAGTCCTGCCAGACCACCTGTGCTAGGCTTTTACGATCAAATGAGGGAAGCAGAATAATGAAGACATATCCAATAAACTTAAAATACTTAGTAAAACTAAGGCCATAAGTCACAGAATACCTCTCTACTGAACACAAGTGCATGGCTTTTTGTCATTCAGACTGCTACATCATGTGCTCCTCAACGTGCCTTCCTGAGCTGCTGTGGTTTATCTTTGATGCTTATTTCTATTCAAGGTGGTTTTAATCTGACTAACTGTTGAACCTGTCATAACTGCACAAAACCAAGCTGAATGAAAATATTTGCAAAGAATGAATGTTAGAAAAACACGTGCCAGCAGGTGAATTGCTATTTTGTTCCTTATTCTCAAGTACCTTTATGCAGAGGTTGGTTTGGGGCTGCAGCTGTGGAGCTATTGGCGACTCACATACAATGCAAGTGGGGGTGTTCATTGGCACAAGATGCCTGCACTCCAGACATGGGGCCATCTGAGGAAGAAGCCACATCACAGCATGTTAAGGACCATAATGACATAATTAAGATTATAATGAATTTTTCAGTATTTCCCTGGTTAGAGTGTACACCAGCAACAAAGTGCTGTGAACACAGCAACTGACAGCAACAGATGCTGGCACTGATCCTTCAGAGATTAGAGGCTATTGAGAAAATATTAAGACAACTGGGAAGACAATGCTTTTCTGACTGCTAGCAATATGCCAGAAAGATACTAAGTTAATTTTCAGTACATTTAAAATGCTACTACACAATATGTGCAGGTAGTTCAAATCCTCCTGATTATGAATCTAGTCTAAAGAGGTACTGATTATTCTCAGCCATCACTTGAAATTACAACACTGCCCCAGACAAGACAACTTTCTAATGATATGGGGAAAAAATGCACCACTGACTTGTTGGATCAGGTTTATTATCTCTTGGGAAAAGATTATAGCTATGGGCATCACTGTAAAAACTCAGTGCTCTTATGTAGGCCCACACACAACAGCATTTAAGGTTTCAGGCATATCAGGTGGGTCTTCTACAGCTATGACATAGACACTAGGTACTAACTAACTGCACTATTTAGAACCAGAGTAAGATGCATATGCAGGTCCTGAAGATGTGATGGTTGTTGTTGCAGGATGAAGAGGAACCTAGATTTTGTGATGTTTACTGAAACAAGCAAATAAAGCACAGCTTATTTTTCATTGTTACCCTTATTAAAATATACGGCACTTGAAGCAATCAAAATGGGTTAATTGTGCCCATCATTTAAGGATTACATCCGGTAGTAAGCAAAATAAAATGATCAGAACAGAGCTTCCCAAATGAAAGTGTGACCAAATAGTGGTTTTGCCAGCATTGGCTGAGGAAGTTGGTTTCTCCAGAGAGGACTTGTTGCTTGTTATGTTTTGCTGACCTGTGCTCCTTCGGGAGGTGGGAAGCGATGCACTGGCACAGGTGGGACAGGAGATCCACATTCCTGACAGAAGTGAGCCAGGGGGTCAGACAGGCGAGGTGCAGAACAGTGTGCACATCTGAGAAGAAGAGCAAAATGGCTGAGCTTCTTTTGGTATTGTACTGCTGCATCATAATGATTCATCTGGAAGCTGGCATGACAGGGCTTAGGCCACTGATTTCTTGGTCGTGGTTTCCGAGCCCTGGTGATCCACCAGACCGTGCCCCAACATCCATGATATGAGGTTCTGAACTCTAAACAGCTTTGCAAAATAGAAAGCTCTCTGGCTCCAATGGAATTTCATATGTTCTTCCTCACCACATGAGGTAAACAGGTCTCCTGACATGCAATCTTTAGCAGGCCTCACTGCTGCACCATAAGAAATCACTGAAGCAGATCACATATCCTTTCAATACTGGGGAGGACTAACTTTCTGTGAGACTGCTCCAATGAGCAGTTTTCACCTGCAGCAAGGAGGGCTGTACTCTAATTTAAAAAGGCAGCTGTTCCTCCAATCCTACAGGTGTCCTGATTTTTTTTCAAAGGATGAGTCTATAGTTGGTAACTGTGTACCATGAGATGTAAATACAGCTACATGTTACAGAAAGATTTTTCTAAGTTCTACCTAGATCACATTCTCCACCTATGAGCCAGTGTCTGCCTTTGCTTTCCTCCTTTTTGTAAAGCCTGACAGTATTATCAAGTTGGTTGCAAAAAGCAATTGCTCATTTACTTTTCAAGGTCAAACATGTTACAAGTAGAAGTCACTTACCTGAGAAAATCTGTTTCCCTCTGGATCCTTGCCACCTGTGTGCTTGCCAAGCTCTTCCGTGTAGTCACTGCAGAAGAACTAGCAAACTAAAAGAAAGGCAATTCTTTATTTACCCTTAGTAAGCAAGTATTTGCAAAATGGATATAGGAACAGCAAAATCAGCTAAAGATGTTATTTGATACAAGCTGTTCTGAAATGCATTGCTTTAAGGAATATCTGCTATACTCCATTCCCCCATTAGCTGCATAAATACTTACAGTTTCTTCCAATCTATCTTGCTATTTACTGCCAAGACAGTGTTACTGAATATAAAGTTTTAATTATCAACTTGCCCACCTACAGTAAGAATTATTTGCTAATTGCAGATTCATTGATGTATTAGAAGAGAATTAGTAGCAATGCAGGTATAATTAATTTGCTTTGCCTGGTTTTGTCCTCACTGATAACTGTGTATTGCTTTCGATATTCTTATTTAGTACTGTATGATGTTTCTCTCTACAACTAGTTGCTCTGTACAACTAACTGAAAGGATGTTGTAGTGAGGTGAGTGTTGGTCTCCTAAGTAACAAGCAATAGAACAAATGGAAATGGCTGCAAGTTGTGCCAGGAGAGGTTTAGGCTGTGTATTAGGAAAAATTTCTTTGCTGAAAGGGTTGTCGGGCACAGGAACGGGCTGCCTGGGGAACTGGTGGAGTCACCACCCCTGGAGGTATTTAAAAGATGTGTAGATGTGGTGCTCAGGGACATGGTTTAATGGTGGACTTGGCAATGTGCTGGGTTAATGGTGAACTTGATCTTAAAGCTCTTTTCCAACCAGAACAATTCTATAGCTCTTTGGTAACACAGCCAAAGGCATTAATTTCTGAGAGATGATATAAGAATGACCACGACTCTTCACATCTTTATTCTTTTAGAGCTCAGTTTTGATGACAGCACTCCACAGTTTTCCTCAACACTCCTTTGCTCACCTGTAACGACTCTGCTGGTAGTGCTGAGATGGATTCCTCTCTGTACTCTTTTGCTTCCAAATGACAGGCAAGGAGCTGTGGTCCATGCAGGGACCTGTGGGCAGTCTTTCTTTCTGTTTCTAAGTCTAAAATTACAATCCTGTTATCCCACTGTCACTCACTTCATGCATTTAACATACATCTTTACACAAATGTTACATACTCTCAATTAAAATTCCAATAGCCAAGCATATTTTAAAATGTATTTGACATTTAAGTCTTGGGTTCAAATATACTGCATGGAATCAAAGGAAAATAATCTAGAAGAAACCTCATTCTCCTCTGAAAGAGCCTTTTTGTATTTTTCTCTATTTACAGTTTTCTTCCTTCCTGCATGCTAACCCCCCCCACCAGCTCCTAAGAGTAAATTAATGAGTAAACATTAATATGATTCCCTGCTCTAAAACAGTCCCATTGCCGTTGCCATGGAATAATAGGCTTTATCTACAGAGAAAACCTGGGTCAACCTTTCATTTCTGCTTTGTACGTATATTTTGGAAGAAAACACTAGTAAAGAATTCCATAAAGGATTTGCAATCCCATCAATTCAACTGTATTTTACAGCAGAAAGGGAAATATAGACTGGGCCTTGTTATGTTGCTCAGAAATTAATGATTCTTATGTTTTTTAAGAGGTAAAGTGATACATATGGAAGGTAAATTTTGTTCCCTATTTGCAGTGTTGGGCAATCAAAATTGGAATTCCCAGAGGATGCTTTGTGTTCTGAAATGGTTTTTTAATTACCCATATTATACCAGTGAAATAAGAGGAAAGCTTTTTCACTATTTTCAGCTGAGACAGAAGTCTGTTTCAGTTTTATGAAGTAATACTGTACCTTGAAAATCTTGGGGTGCTTCACTCCAGGCATGCTTAATTTCCATGTTCACTCCATTTGTCTTTGGTTTTGCAGTAAACATTCCACCTTCCCTCTCCTAAAAGAAACTGTATTTGAATTCCAAATGAAAGATTTGGTTTTGCTCTAACCTACTCCTGGAGTTATTTTTTAGGATTTTTAAAGTACATGCTTATGATATTAATTTTCTTAAATTACAGATGTATTTTAAAGATATTTTATCTGAATTTCTCATAAAAGGCCAGTGCAAAAAAAGGGAAAAAAAATAATGTGTCCCCTTGAAAATGTAATAATACAAAAAGGATCAAGGTAGCAAAGATGGGCAAGCAGAGAAAATAACATATTAAAAGCATAGGCAGTCAAAGGTTTAATCCCTAAGTAGTATCATACACACAACATTTTCTATTCACACAAGGGGTTAAAATTGGTAAAACTTACCTGTGTGGTGATATCTTTGGTGCAATTCTTGTAATCTTCTTCAACAGAGAAGAGGATGTTTGGCTGCTTGTACTCTACCAGAAACACCTTTGTTACAACTGTACTCTCCCTGCAGTCCCTGAAAATCAACAGCCACAAACCCATGTGCAGGAACGAGTAAATCACTGATGAACGTGGCTCATTTGCTGGAACATTTTTTCCAAGCTTGCAGTCATTATTTCAATGGATAAGTATCATCCTGGACAATGTTCTCAGGAAACACTGCTTTGTTTTGCCTTTTTTTTAGTGTAAAATGTGCATGATAAGAAGTTACCAGTAAAATTCTTGCTAATCCTGTGTCTGCTTTCTGGAGTAACTATCATTTGTCAGGGTTGCAGAAAATAGAGGAGAGCAAGACTTTTCTTCCATCCATACTACCTCATTCATTTTCCCAGTCAAGCAGCAGCTACCACACTATTTATTTATTTACATTATTATAGTTGTCATTGTTGTTGTTGTTGTTATTATTGTTATTATATTACAGCAGTAACATTGAAATTTATCTAAATGTCCAAACCACTCATTTAGGATTTATTGTCATTCTAGAGCATCTATTTTAGCCCACCTAAAAAAGTCTTAGTAAAAACATACTGGAAACAAGTGTTAATCCAGGTAGTGATATCAGAAAATACACATATTTGTATGTGTTCTTACACTCCATTGCAGGACCCAAGTGCAAGTTCCTGCACACGGGCTGGGGCAATCCCAAGCACAAATAAAGCTTGGGTGGAGAATGGTTTGAGAACAGCCCTGAGGAGAAGGACTCGGGGTGTTGGTTGATGAGAAGCTCAACAGGAGCCAAAAATGTGTGTTTACAGCCCAGAAAGCCAACTGTGTTCTCAGCTACATCAAAAGAAATGCAATTAGTGGGTGAATCTCCCCCTCTACTCTACTCTTGTGAGACCCCACCTGGAGTACTGTGTCCAGTTCTGGAGCCCTCAACACAGGAAGGACATGGAACTCCTGGAGCAAGTCCAGAAGAGGGCCATGAAAATCCGATGGCTGGAGCACCTCCCCTATGAAGACAGGCTGAGAGAGTTGGGGTTGTTCAGCCTGGAGAAGAAAAGGCTCCAGGGAGACTTTATTAAAGTGGCCTTCCAGGACCTGAAGGGGCCTACAGGGAAGCCAGGGAGGGACTTTTTACAAGGTCTTGTAGTGAGAGGATAAGGGGGAATGGCTTTAAACTGGAAGAGGGGAGATTTAGGTTAGACATTAGGAAGAAATTTTTCACTGTGAGGGTGGTGAAACACTGGAGCAGGTTGTCCAGGGAAGTTGTGGATGCCTCATTCCTGGAAGTGTTTAAGGGCAGGTTGCATGGGGCTCTGAGCAACCTGGTCTAGTGAGAGGTGTCCCTGAACATGCAGGGGGGTTGGAACTAGATGATCTTCAAGGTGCCCTCCAATCCAAACCATTCTGTGAATCTGTGATAAGCAAAGGCTATCTGAGGATGCTAATAGTGGGGAATATAAACACAAATACCCAATTGGAGTGGAAGTTTCTGCTTCCTTGGAAAGAAAAGATAAAACAACAAGACACAGACAGAATGGATGTGTCCTCACTCTGACTCTAAGCATGAAGTTGGTTTGGAGAGTCAGTGGCTGTGCAGCAAAACCCAGTTTTCTTCTATATAGCATTTTTCCTAACACTTATCCTTCACCCTTGTACTAACGTTGTACTTAAGCCATGAGGTTTAGCATTCTGTGATCCCTTTGGGAGAAACTAAGCAGATTCCTGGGAATACCAACTTCTTTAAATCTGCTGAATCCCTGTTAGACCCCAGAAAACATCATACCAATTCCTCTGGCATATTTTATGATCAAACTCAAAAGGATAAGCTCTAAGTACAGTATATTTTATTAGTTTCTTGCCCACAGCCTCTACAGATCGTTGGCCTATATCCACAGTCCAGGAGATAAACATCCAAGAGATAATCTGTCTGCACAAGCACTTAATGGATAAAAAGCTTTAGGAGAAAGTGAAGTCAATGCAACCCATGATATCACTTAGATTGCAAACTGGCTGAGGAAAGAGGCGTCTCTCACTTGCCAGGTCTGGAATGCTTTGAACAGCATGGCTTCAAGCCATGACCAGAACATCTGTCCCTTGCCAAAAGGCCAGTAAAATAAAACAGGATACTTACTTTGTAACTGCCAGTGCCTTGACCACTATTTTCCCAACTGGTAATATGATAGGACCCTTATACTTAAAAGTGTTATGGTCTCCATAGCCAGGCTTCCTAATGAGTTCTGGTTTACTTCCATCTAGAGTGTAATAAATGGAGACCTCAGGTGTATCTGAAAGACACAGAGAAAGAAAGTAGCCAAACTGCATTCAACCTGTGGAAAACAGGCTCCACGCTTCAAAGTACTCAATACTGTGGGCGATTTTTCTCACATAAACAATACAGAGCAATTCTATGAATGACCAAAACTGTTTCTCCCATGAAAATTTGCTACTCAGCAAACACAATTTCATTATAAGCAATATGTACTCTTTATAAAGTAGCTGTGCAATGATTTTGTACTAAAACATTACAATGGATTTTCTGTTCTAAAGACAGAAAAGATACTCCCTCCCATGGTGAAAGGTGACATTTCAAAAATGGCAAGGAAAACCTTTGGGGGGAGCATGGCATGTGATACTTTCAAGCATTTGTTTTGCAGTGAAATGCAACAGCTTAAGAGCTTGCTCTTGGAAACAATTAAGCCTGCTAAAATAGATATGAAATAACTCATGTCAATGATATTGTTTGAATGCATAAAATTAAAAGTGTAACTACAGTATTTGCTGTATTCTAAGTTTCTTAAGGAAGTGGACACTCCTAAAATCCATAAATTCAAATAGAAGTATAGAGGCTAAAGTTTCAAATGTACACATAAGAAAAGGCTTTACACAAAGTCCAAGTTCTTATTCCTACCTGATTTTATTTCTACAAGAGTATTTGTGTCTATTTGGTGTTTAGCCTTCCCTGGAAGAGGGATTCGAAGAGGTATGACCTGAGGAACTGAGACAGAGCCAGCTGTCATTTTTTCTCAGCAGTGATCTTGAAAAAAGAAAAACAAAAAAGGCAGACAACTTTTCTAAATAGAGGAATGCACTGAGAAATACAGTCTTTTAATGTGATTCCTTGTCTTCATTTCTCTTAAAAGAGAGAACACCAGATTATTTAAACTGTCAGTACTCATTAATGTCTGCATTATTTTCACATTGAAAAGGAACAGGATCTCAATGACCATCACACTTTCAACTTACTCTCCTGTTTCACGACTGTGAACAGAGCTTGAGCACTGTTGCTTTCATTTCACTTTGGGCTTCCTTGCTCAAGTCTGTTTTCCACATATTCAAGAAAACCAGCTTTGGCACCATACATCAGTGATGTAAGAGTGAGGGAGAGCAAAGCCTCTTGACCCTCATCATGGCAGATGTGGTGTCATTTTCTCTGCAGGAAGAACCATCCTCTTGTTTCATCATGGCCATCTGAATATACACAAAATGCCCTGAAAAGGACTAAAGCAGGACAGCTATTCCTTAAGCTTATCTCAGCTATCATATGCATTAATAATACACCCATAAAACACCAGCCAAACATGATTTCTCATAAATGACATGGTCATTAGCACGTCACACAATTCAAGACCGAAAAACTGCACTTGGATATTGTAACATTTTACAATACAAGAAGATCTTGGGAACTGATACTCAGGGCCAGGAAACGTGCACACTAGAAGGGTTTGGCTTTGTAACCAACCCTTCCATCCTCCAGAAACGTCTCTTACCCCTCAACGCGGACAGTAACGGTTCAACGCGGGAGGTGCCTGTCAGACCACGCTCTCTCCGGGGCTGCGCCGAGGTGTGTGTGTCCCAGAGCTCCCGAAGCAGCAGCCCAGGAATGCGGGCAGCTCCGCCAGACTCTCCTGGGCTGCTCGCGGTGGCGTG